AAGCAAGGAGAAGGAAAGAAATAATAAAGATAAAAACATAAATCAATGAAATGAACACAGAAATTGGGAAAGTATTGATGAAACAGCTTTTTATATGAAATGACCAATAAAATTGACAAACCTGTAGCCAAACTGACAAAAAAAAAAGAGAGAGAGAGAGAAGGAAGACAGAGATTACCAATATCAAGAATGAAACAATGGCTATCACTACAGACCCTATAAACATCAAAAGGATAATATGAGAATACACAACCCTACACATATAAATTTGGCAACTTAGACAAAATAGACCAATTCCTCAAAAAAAATATACACTACCACACTCACCCAATGTGAAATAGATAATTCAAATAGCATTATAAATATTGAATCCATAATTTTAAAAAATATCCAAGACCAGATGAATTCACTGGAGAATTCTACCAAATGTTTAAAGAAGAATTAACACCAATACTACACAATCTGTTCCAGAAAACAGTAGAGTGGGAACACTTCCTAATTCATTCTATGAGCTAGTATTACCCTGATGCCAAACCAAAGTACCAAAAAATAAAACTATGGACTAATACCCCTCATGAGTATAGGCACAAAAAATCAGTAACAAAACATTAGCAAATAGAATTCAGATACATATAAAAAGAAGTATACACTATGACCAAAGGAAGTTAATTCCGAGGATACAAGGCTGGTCAATATTTGAAGATCAGTCAATGTAATCCAACATAGTAACAATCTAAAGAAAAAATCCCATTATCTATTGATGCAGAGAAAAAAATTGACAAAATTCAACATCATGATAAAAACTCAGAAAAATGGAAACAGGGTGAATAGCTCCCTAAAGATATCCACATCCTAATCAATAGAACCTGTGAGTATGTTACCTTATATGGCAAAAGATAATTTGCAAACCTGATTAAATCAAGGATCTTGAGATGGGGAGATTCCCCTGGATTACGTGGGTGGGCCTTAAATCCAATTGTGAGTATCCTCAGAGACGCAGAGGGAGCTTAGATACACACAGAAGAGGACCATGTAACCTCCAGGTGACCATGGAGGCAGAGACTGGAGGCGGAGATTGGAAAAATGCAGCCACAAGTCAAGGAATGCCAGCAGCCACTGGAAGCTGGAAGAGGCAAGAACAGATTCTCCACTAGAGTCTCCAGTGGGAGTACAGCCTTGCCCACAGTTTTTTCAGCCCAAACTGACTGGCTTCTGACCTTCAGAACTGTGAGAGAGTATATTTCTGGTTTTGTTAAGTAAGCCATTCAGTTTGTGGTAATTTGTTACAGCAATCACAGGAAACTAATTTGTCCCTAGAGCCTCATGTAGCTCAGCCTACACCTTAATTTTAGCTGGTCAGACCCATTGTGGCCTTCTCACACCCAGAACTGTAGATAATAAATTTGCCTTGTCTCAAGGCACTAAATTTGTGGTACTTAATACAGAGGGATTTCTTTAAACTTCATTAAGAACATTTATAAAAACCGGGGCACCTGGGTGGCTCAGTTGGTTAAGCGCCTGCCTTCGGCTCAGGTCATGATCCCAGCATCCTGCAATCGAGTCCCACAATGGGTCTTTGTTTAATGGGGAATCTGCTTCTCCCTCTGCCTGTCACTCCCCCTGCTTGTGCTCTCTCTCTCTGACAAAGGAAATCTTAAAAAAAAAAAAGAACAACATTTACAAAAACCTACAACCAATATTATATTTAAAGGTGAAAAACTGAATGTTTTCCCCTTAAGATTAGGAACAAAGAAAGGATTCCACATTACCAGTCTTAAAATTCTGAGAGTTCTAGCCAGTGCAATAAGGCAAGAAAAGGAAATAATAGGCATCCATATCAGAAAAGAAATAAAAGTGTCCCTATTTGCAGATTACAATTGTCTATGTAGAAAATTCCAAAGAATCTACAAGAAAATTATTAGAATAAGTGAGTTAAGATCACAGAATACAAAATAAACTTGCAAAAGTCCATTCTATTTGTAGAAATGAACATGTAGACACCACAATTAAAAATAAAACACCATTTGTAATCACTAAAAAAAATGAAACTCTTAGGTATAAATCCAATATGTTAAGGACTTACATGATAAAAATTACACAGTCCTGGGGCACCTGGCTGGCTCAGTCGGAAGAGCATGTGACTCTTGATCTCAGGGTTGTGAGTTCGAGCCCCACGTTGGGTGTAGAGATTACTAAGAAAAAGAAAACTTAAAAAAAAATCTGCACAGTTCTGATGAAAGACTCAAAAAAGATCTAAATAACTGGAGAGATATACCATATTCATGGACTGGAACTTTCAACTTAGTAAAGATGTCAATTCTCCCCAAATTGATACACAGGTTTAACATAGTATCTATCAAAATTCCAGCAATTTTTTTTGTAGATATAGACAAGATTAGTCCATGGAAAGGCAAACAAACTAGAATAGCTTAAAAAACAAAACAAAACAAAACACTGAAACAGAAGAATAAAGTGGGAAGAATCAGTCTACCCAATTTCAAGACTTATTATATAGCTACAGTAATCAGTACTGTGTTGTGTGGAAGAGAGACAGGCACATAGATCAGTGGAACAGAATAGAAAACCCAGAAAAGAGACCCAGACAAATATGCCAAATTTATAATGTGCAAAAGCAATTCAATAGAGGAAAGGTAGCCTTTTCAACAAAGATACTGGAGCAACTGGACATTCATAGACAAGAGGGAAAAAAAAGTACCTCAACTAAGTGTCACACCTTACACAAAATTAACTCTAAATGGATCATAGACTTAAATGTAAAACAAAACTATACAACTTTTTTTTTTTAATTTTTTTTTTTTTTTAAGATTTTATTTATTTGAGAGAGAGAGAATGAGAGACAGAGAGCATGAGAGGGAGGAAGGTCAGAGGGAGAAGCAGACTCCCCGCTGAGCAGGGAGCCCGATGTGGGACTCGATCCCGGGACTCCAGGATCATGACCTGAGCCGAAGGCAGTCGCTTAACCAACTGAGCCACCCAGGTGCCCCAAAACTATACAACTTTTAGGAAAAAAAAACTTAGGAAATCTTTGGGATCTAGGGCTGAGCAAAGAGTTCCCAGACTTGACGGCAAAAGCACAGTCCATAAAAAGAAAACCTGATAAGTTGGACTTCATCAAAATTAAAACTTTTGTGCATCAAAGGACACTATCAAGAAAGTGAAAAGACTATCCACAGAATAGAAGAATACATTTGCAAATCATTTACCTAACAAAGGTCTACTATCCAGAATATATAAAGAACTCTTACAACTCAACAACGAAACAACCCAATTCAAAAATGGGCAAAGGACTAAAATAAACATTTTCCACTTAAGAGATACAAATGCCCAAGAAACACATGAAAAGATACCCAAGATCACTAGCTATCAGGGAAATGCAAATCAAACCACAGTGAGATTTCATGTCACATCCACCAAGATTTCTGTAATTAAAAAAAAAAAAAAATCAGGGGCGCCTGGGTGGCTTAGTCAGTTGAGCATCTGACTCTTGGTTTCAGCTCAGGTGTCAGCTCTGCACTCAGCAGGGAGCCTGCTTGGGACTCTCTCTCTCTCCCTCTGCCCCTCCCCCACTCACATGTGCACATGCTCCCTCTCTCTCTCTCAAATAAATAGCTCTTAAAAAAAAAAGAAAAAAAAGAAATTAAGAAAGAAAGAAAATTCACCGAAACAAAAAGCAGAGTAGTGGCTGCCAGAGCCTCGGGGGAGGGAAGAATTAAGTGAGAGGTTAACGGGTATGTGACTTCCTTTTGAGGTGATGAAAATGTTCTGGAAGTAGACAGTGGTGATAGTTGACCAATATTGTGAATGTAGTAAATGTCACTAATGGCAAGTTTTATATTATGTGTATTTTCCCTCAATGTTAAATATATATCCCTCAAGCCATGGGCAGGATGAAATGGTCAGGATCCCTGTCTCCTCTGTGTGGAAGCATGAGAAAATCAACCTGAAATTTCTAAGAAATGGATCATCCCAGATTTTAATTATGAAGTAGAAAACAAGGTTCTACTGTCGGCTCAGTGTCTGCATCCCCCACCCACGCAGAGGGTGTCTGTATCCTTTTCACAGAGGTCCCTTCAGAGCACCTCTGCCTCGAAGACGAGGAGGCTTCCAAAATGTGGACTTTTAAGAAATTCAAATTAATCATTGCAAATCAGAGAATCCATCTAGGCAAGCTTCACTGTTTATCAAACATGCCCTTTTTTTGGGCTTCCCCATCCTGAGGATGTCTATCCAGGCCCTCCAGGGTTTCTGGTCATGGCCACACTGTTGACCCAGCTGTGTCACCCATCTCTCTAGAAAGGAAGTCAGTTAGGAACCAACCCATGGCTGATGGAACTCAAATGCCCCTTCTGTTGTTCTTCCCAGATTCTGTGTTACAGGCAGCCCCCTCCATTCCCAAAATGGTGAGAACATTGTTTCTCTTCCCATTACCTTGAGAGCACATAGTGAATGTTCATTTTCTCTTGTCCATTATTTAAAAAGGGCCAAATCTAAGTGGAACATTTTCCTCATTTTGCTGTACGAGGTTGGGCTGGTCTGCGGCAGTCAGCCTGAGGAGGATGGGCTGGATCTCTACGTGCCAGGAGGCGAGCCTGGGCCCTTCCCAGAACCTCTCTCGTTTGTGATGCCAACAGGAGCTCACAACTCCAACTGCCACCAGAGCCCCGGACTGGAAAGGGGAAGAAGGATGGCCGCTGCACCACCTCTAAATGCCCACGTCGCCTCTGTCAAAGCGGGGTGTCTAAGCTTAGAGATGAGGGAACAGGAAGCTCACGCAGCGGGAGAACAGGACCAACAAGAGACTTGATGCAAGTCAGTCACTGACCAAATAGTCCAAGCCTCCCCTCCAACTCCTGGAGAGAGAAATCCCATGAACTCGGAGGCGTGCCCTCTACAGAACACTTGCTCACAGCAAACAGCCCCGTGGCCTCAGTTTGCCCACCGCCCCCCACCCCCACCCCCGCTGCAGCCCCGGCCACAGAAGCAGCAGCTGAGGCTCTTACTATTTCCTGATTGCCTGCTGTATCATTTGAAACCTTCAGGGGAATTTGGTCCTAGAAGTGAAGTTTCTAAGAACTTTTTTCGACCATGCCCAAACCCAAGCTGAACTGGACAAAACGAAATTCTGACTTCCAGAGAAGCCCTTCTACTCACACTTTGGATAGTTCTACAGGCTTCTCGGAGCCCTCAGAGAAATGCTTTACCCTTAGAGAAATAATGCTAGCACCCAGGTGTCTTGGCTTCTCAGCTCTGCATGCTGAAGTGAGCACCTAGCCCGTGGGGGCAGACTGGGGGTCTTTTGGCTTCTTGGCTAGTTAGGGGCCCAGAGCACAGGGCCCAGACACAGCCACGGCACAGGAAGAGTGGAGGTTTGCTTGCAGTTCAGAAGTTTATTAGTGAATGAGTTTGGGCCAGTTGGTGCTGACATGCTGCTCACTTCAGCCCTGGTGTACCGGCTACGGGAGGGGAGGAGGCTTCCTGCTCTGATGTTTCACTGGTGAGGTCACCCCAGGAGAATGCCGAGCTCTCTCCTGGGTCCGACGGGCCAGGCTTGGAGCCGGTACATTCACAGAGACTCCACCTCGGTTTCCAGGGCCTGGGCTGGAGGGATGAGGGTTTTTAGGATCTCTGTGTAGTAGGGGCCAAACACCTCCTGATTGTGATGCGTTAGGCTGACAAACTTTTGGCCCAGTTCTGCCAGTTCTGCTTCAATGACAGTAAGGCCTCCGGGGAGGTCTAACAGGGATCGCTGCACACCGAGGACCAGACAGCATTTGAGAAACAAATGGATCCGCTGATCTGTGAGCGGGGAAGAAGCAAACAATTTTCAGGGAGCCGCACGGTCCCTCCACTCTACTCACTCAAGTTCTAAGTCAACCAAGATATTTATTAGCCCACCCACCTGGAGATAAGGACATATGTTTTGTTCGCGAAGGGGGCTGCTATCTAGCTCCCAAGGACAAAGCAAAGATCACAAATGAGTGGGCTAGTAAATTTCTGACTGTTCAAAAGATGACTTAAGCCTCCCCCAGTAGATCCTGGTGAGTATCTAACATGAGGATCTTAGGCCGATCCTTTGGATGGCTGAAGTTAAGAGCAAGGTCAAGTTCATGCCCTCCATTCCAACAGGGATGAGTCCTTGCTGTGGGAACATGTCCTCCAGCTGCTTTAGCATCAGCTTCTTGTTGCTGGGAGGTTGGAGGTAGATGTCATGTCTCGGACTATAGTCAGAAAATGACCCAGAAGTCCAGGGATGACTTAACCAGATTAGGTAAACAGGATGTCCTACCCAGAAGTCATGAATTCCTGGGTGCAAACCTTCCTTAGAACCAGAATCAGTCTTTAAACTGAAAGGAATATATTTTCAATGCAGCATTTTGAAAAAAACTAAAGCCTAAACAGTGACTTGCCCAATGATCCTGCTTTTTATTGTTAAATGGTTCAGTAACTGACTTCCAGGGATGGGATCTACCTCTCCCCAAAACGTTCTCACCACCCCCACAGGCATGCTCACCAATGACGTTGCGGACACAGTTCTCCTTCTTGGCAATGTTCTGGAGCTGTCCTATCAGAGATGCTGCGTTGTCACTGCTCAGAGCAGCCAGGCCCATGTTCTTGAGGCTTTGATGGATTTCCTGAGACACCTGTTCACTCACAGTCTGCATAGCCTCTTCAGGCCTAGACCATGAAGGAGAGTAGGCTGGTACCCAGCAGATGGCCCTGGCAGAGGCCCAGAGCCAGGGAAGCCGCATGCCAGAAGCTGGGCCCACTTGAGGGAGAGGGAGACTCCCAGCCACCCTCCTGCCCTCACCCCAGTCCCTGGCAGCAGCAGGACCCAGCGGGTAGGCTCAGTATCTTCACTGTTATGCTCCAGATTCCGACTATTCTCTATATATGACACCATGTTCTACTTCTTAGAAAACAAGATAAACTATAAAATCAACTCTGGACAAGAGTTTGGTATCCACTCAATTCTTCAGCCCCATGGAATTTATGTATATATGTGCATGTACATTTTTAAGACTTTCTTGGTCATTTGGTCATGGTCATTTGTCCTGTCACCAATTACAGTGACAAACCTGGCCTTCTGATTCCTTTTTTCCTCTGGTGTGACACCCTGCACACAGATGTTCAATGAACATCACTGACTGACTAATCAACTCCTGGATATACCTAAGACCAGTCCACTGGCAGGCATCCCCTCAAGGAGAGAATGATTGCTTTGTAGAAAACAAGATCATGACTCATTTTGTAGTAAACTATCCTCCATACTACTCTTTTTGGAGGAAAGCTTTACTTTTCTTTGTCACAAGTCTTAAGACCATTATGGAAAGACATCAACGATCCCTGTGGATGGTTCCAGTCTTTGTGGCCTGCGGTGGAATGTAAGCAATCACTCGTTACCCAGCTCTGTCTTCCTACCACCCGTTACTCTCTCTCTAGAAAAGCTCTACGCAGCTCACCTGGAGTCAAACTCCTTCATCAGGTTTTTGGTTACGCGTTTCAGCTTATCCACAAACTGAGGTGAGCCGAACAAAACACTGCCAGAGAAACTGCTGGCCACCAGCAAAACTGAGGCCAGGACGGTCAACTGGTGCAACTGGGACTCCAGCTCCTGCAGCCGGGTCCTGTCCATCAGCAGCGTCTGGGGAAGCGGGGAAGAAGAGGCTGTCAGGAGGAGCCGGTCCAGATGGAGGTCCCAGACACAAAACAAGGCGATGCCCTCCTTGGGCCTACCTCAGGGAACTCTTCATTTGCAGGGTCCCAGAGAAGGAGGTTCAGGAACCCCTGGGACAGCACCATCGTAGGGCTGAGGGGCTCTGGGCTGCCGACTGCCTCGTTTGGAGAGGAGCAGGCCACAGTGGCGGAGTCGGACGCGTCCAGGCAAGTCGGAAGTGGCGTGGTGAGGTCTGCAGCCGCTTGGGTCAGCCACTTGGTGGTGTGGTCAAGGAGGCCTAGGACAGGAAGAGCGGGCAAGCATCTGCAGCATCCGCCTCCCTAAAGCTTCAAGACTAAGGTTCTTTTCACGATCTGCTCCCGGTCAATAAATAAATGCTTTGGTCTTAGATAACTCTTCCTTCTCCCTCCCCCTTCCTGAGGAAGAAACTTTCTGTTCCCAAGAGACTGAGTACTCTCTAACATCACAGAAGTCAGACCCACACAAGGTCCCATCTTCTCACTCTGGACCTCCGGTTGTTTACATACTTGGCTGTTTATTGAGGAGTTCCTGGAATGTCGCCCGTTCATGCTGGATGGAATGTTCCTGCAGGTGGGGTTGAAGGCTCTGGATAGTATAGTTCAGCATGTCCATTTTCATCAGGCCCAGAACCTGGAAGATCCCTCTGACATAAGAGAAAATAAAATATACTATGAAAGGAAATCTAGTGAAAGGGGCCCCTACAGAAAGTGTCATTAAATCACTGTGTTCCAGAGGGAGGAGGAGCTTGAAAATGAGTCCCACCTCCGGGGCGCCTGGGTGGCTCAGGTGGTGAAGCATCTGCCTTCAGTTCAGGTCATGGTTCCAGGGTCCTGGGACCAAGCCCCGAGTCGGGCTCCCTGCTCACCAGGGAGCCTGCTTCTCCCTCTGCCTGCCCCTCCCCCCACTCATGCATTCTCTCTCTCTCTAATAAATAAAACCTTTAAAAAAAAAAAATTAGTCCCATCTTCTAAATTTACAAAAAACGGCACTGTGACTGAGAGGACTCAGGACCCCAGGCCCAGAGTAAGTGAATGGCCCAGTGAGGAACAGAGAAGTCTCTGGACCTCGAAGCCTCCAGGCTAGCTCTCTCTCCACACGCTCATTCTATCATCCTTTTTCAAAGGCAGAGTCAGCAAGAGGAAACACACACCAGCAGGCTGATGAGCCTTTCTGGGAAGGGGGACTACAGGTGACGACGTATCTGAAGCAATTTCTGCACCAATCACTCTCTTCCATTCTTTTCGTTTTCTTTTTTTTTTTTTAAACTTTCTGGGTCTTGGTTTCTCCAACTATTAAATAGGGATAACCTCCCATCCCTGTCCCCTCACACTGTGTAAACTGCAATAAGAAAATCTGGGGAAAGGATGTTTGAACTCCTTGGAAGGATCACACAATGTTTTATAATATGATGTTACATAGGAGGCCCAACCAAACTAAGGCCATCTTTGGGAGAAAGGGGAAAAAGCTAGTAGGCCAGCACGGAGAGGACTGGTCAGGCCTTCAGTAGGGGAAGACCCAGCCAAGACGGGGCTATAATGGAGTGTCTGGCCCAGGGGCTGAGGCCAGTTCGAGGGACGGCAGTCAAGTCTCGCACCTCAGTAACCGAACAGGGTCTGTAATGTTCTCTAGCTTCTGCACGGCTTCGTCTCGAACTGGTGCGCACAGCAGAGTCATCATGTCAAGAATGTACTTAGAGACAAGAGGGACATTGAGGGCCCCGTGTTCTGCTTTCCGCCCGAGGAGCTCCGTGTCCAGCGCTTCTTCAATCTCACTCCGTAGGCGGCTCTGGCGCGGTAAGAGCAGTGAGAGCAGGATCTGCCCAGGAGAGAAAGTCAAAGGGGGGGCTTTCTGTGTGGAGCCCCAAACCTTCTCTAATGCACAACCCCTTTAGCCAAAGACATCAGCCTGTCTTTTAGGGACCAAGAAGTGGGGTCCCTAAATTTTCCAGAAAATATTATTTATCTTTGTTGAGAGGCCGATGAGAGTTCGAGGCTTTAGGGGATCAATACAGCTGCGGTGCATCATTTTCTAGGCAGAATGGAGAGACAAGTAACATCAAGGAGTGTGGATAAAAGAAATGCAAAGTACAATCAATATAAAATACACGTCACATGGTGATGAGAGACTCTTAATTTTATTTATTTACTTTTTTTTAAAGATTTTATTTATTTGACAGAGAGAGACACAGCGAGAGAGGGAACACAAGCAGGGGGAGTGGGAGAGGGAGAAGCAGGCTTCCCGCTGAGCAGGGAGCCCGATGTGGGACTCGATCCCAGGACTCCAGGATCATGACCCGAGCTGAAGGCAGACGCGTAACAACTGAGCCACCCAGGCGCCCTGAGAGATCTTAATTTTTAAAAAGTGGGCTTTATTTCTTTGAGAGAGTGCGAGCGCTCATGTTGTGGGGAGAGGGGCAGAGGGAGAGGGAGAGAGAGGATCTCAAGCAGACTTTGCACTGAGCAGGGAGCCCGACAAAGGGCTCGATCTCAAGACCCTGAGATCACGACCTGAGCCGAAACCCAGTCAGACGCTTAACTGACTGGGCCACCCTGGTGCCCTATGCGGGCATTTTTTTTTTTTAGATGATTTTACTTCAAAGAGCAAGGAAGAAATAGGCCAACGAACAGTTAAGAGGCTCTGGAAATAGCCTATTAACCCCAAAACGTGATTTCCCTGTGAAGAGAGACACTCTTATTCTTCTCTGTGCCTCCGTAACATACAGAACGTGGGCGGGGGGGCTGAGGAGTGGGGTTCAATGAAGAGTGTGTTGTCAGAGCAAGATGCCCAGCTATTTAGCTTCTCCACGCTCTCTACCGAAAATGGTAAACTATGCCAGTTATCGGCTGGAGGCTCTTAGCACCGACTGCACCCTTCAGGGCCCACGGAAACAGGACCAGGCCCTTGAACTGTTTTTCCTTTGCTGGCTGGCCCAACGGTAAGTTTTGTTAGCAGAGGGTGCTAAAGAGAGACTGCGCAGCCAAGAGGTCTTCCCGCCTGGCTCTGCTGAGCTCCTCCGCGGCACAGCCCCGCGGCACCGCGGCTTTGCTTGGCTCGGCTCGAATTACTGTGGCGTCCTTCTCCTGACCGGACCCTGACTCATACGAAACCGGTACCGTGGGTGAGGTTTGACTCAAAAGGCCCTATCCCCGTTGGACCTGACGAGCACGTGTAGCAAGTACTTTTGATGTCTTAGGAAAACGTGCAAACTACAGGATGGCAGATAAGCCCCACAAATGTCAGCGGCCTGTGGCCTCAGTGAAGGTGCTAGAGCTTCAGTGGTCTGCACCTTGTCAAGCTTTTCCCTCCCAGGTGAAAGACAACTCGCTGAACCTCAAACCACCCACCATGAAAAAGGACGCACAACGCTCATAGGCCTTTCTGGATTTCTGAGGCAACACATACCACGTTTGAGTTTGCTCCTGCAACACTCATTTAGGGTCACTCATAAGGCTTCTGGTTTCAGGTGGGAACCAGAGCCAAGAGCAGCGAGTCCAGGCCGCATATAAGCTGGGATGCCATTTGGGCCATGCGACCCAGCAGGTTCAGTGACACTTACCGTGTCCCCGGCAAGTAAGGGTGCCGTAACAGCCTTTGGCAGGTGCCAAGACAGCATCACAGCAAGACCTCTAGGACTTTAGGGCAGATCTATGCCCTCTTCCGCAAATCACTATTTGCCTTTTGAGAAATGGTTTCTGGCTTGTTCCTGGGCTTTTGCAGAAGTAAACATCTCACCGTAGGATACGGGGTGGCCGCGTGGCCTGAGCTTCCCATGAGGAACTAGGTGTTGTCTGCCCCACTTAACCATAAGATGAGGCCTGTCCCACAGCACTCTATCACCAGATGAAATGGCCTACAGGAGACCAAACACATACTGTGATAGGACAGACCTACAGAGCAGAATACAATAGAGAGCCCAGAAATAAAACCTGGAGATGTGATCAAATAATACTTGAAAACAATGTCAAGACCATTCAATGGAAAAAGGACAGTCTCTTCAATAAATGGTGCTGAGGAAATTGGGTATCCACAAGTAAAAGAATGAAATCAGGGGGCACCTGGATGGGTCAGTTGAGCATCTGACTCAGGTCGTGATCTCAGGGTCATGAGATTTCTGCACTGAGAGCAGAGTCTGCTTAAGACTCTTTCTCTCAGGGTGCCTGGGTGGTTCAGTTGGTTAAACATCTGCCTTTGGCTCAGGTCATGATCTCAGGGTCCTGGGATCGAGCCCCGCATCAAGTTCCCTGCTCAGTGGGGAGTCTGTTTCTCCCTCTTCCCCCCACCTCATGCTCTGTCTCTTTCTCTCTCTCAATAAAATCTTAAAAAAAAAAAAATCTTTCTCCTTCTCCTTCTGACCCTCCCCCACTCTCTAATAAATAAATAAATCTTTAAAAAAATTAAGTTGGACCCTTACCTTACACCTTATAAAAATTTTAACTTGGGGCGCCTGGGTGGCTCAGTTGGTTAAGCGTCTGCCTTCAGCTCAGGTCATGATCTCAGGGTCCCGGGATCAAGCCCTGCATCAGGCTCCCTGCTCAGCAAAGAGTCGGCTTGCCCCTCTCCCCCACCCCACCCCCACCCCGCGCTCGTGTTCTCTCTCTTAAATAAAATCTTAAAAAAAAAATTAGGGGGTGCCTGGGTGGCTCAGTTGTTAAAGCGTCTGCCTTCGGCTCAGGTCATGATCCCAGATGGGATTGAGCCCCACATCGGGCTCCCTGCTCAGCGGGAAGCCTGCTTCTCCCTCTCCCACTCCCCGGGCTTCTCCCTCTCCCACTCCCCCTGCTTGTGTTCCCTCTCTCGCTGTGTCTCTCTCTGTCAAATAAATAAATAAAATCTTTAAAAAAAAAAAATTAACTTGGGGCACCTGGGTGGCTTAGTGGGCTAAGCCTCTGCCTCTGGCTCAGGTCATGATCCCAGAGTCCTGGGATCAAGCACCGCATCGGGTTCCCCACTCAGCGGGAAGCCTGTTTCTCCCTCTCCCTCTGCCTGCCTCTTCCCCTGCTTGTGCTCTCTCTCTCTCTCTGTAAAATAAATAAATAAAATCTTAAAAAAAAAATAACTCAAAATGGATCAAGGACTTAAACAGAAGAGCTAAAATTCTAAAACTCTTAGAAGAAAATAAAGGGATAAATCTTCATAATCCTGGATTTGGCAAGACAGGGCACCAAAGGTAGAAGGAACAGGCTAGATCAACTGGACTTCATCAGGAGCAAAACTTTTGTGCACAGGACACTATCAAGAGGGTGAAGAGACTACCCACAGAATGGGAGAATATATTTGCAAATCACTTACCTAAGAAGGGGCTACTGTCCAGAATACATAAAGAACTCTTACAACTCAACAACAAAAGACAAACAACCCCATTTAAAAATGGACAAAGTACTTGAGTCAACCTTTCTCCAAAGACAACCCAGAACTTGGGCACTAAGCACAGGGAAAGACACTCAGCACCATTAGCCATCAGGGTCATGCGGATCCAAACCACAGTGAGATTCCTCTTCACACCCACCAAGATGGCTATAATGAGAAAAGGAAAGCAGCACTGGGGAAAATGTGGGAAAGCTAGGACCTCACACCCTGCTGGTGGGAATGTACAGTGGTGTGGCCACTGTGGAAAACAGTTTAGTGGCTTCTCAAACTCAGCAATGCCACCCCTGGGTATGTGCCCCAAAGAGCAGAAAACAGGTGTTCAAACACAATCTTGTACACGAGTGTTCATAGCAGTACTACTTGCAATAGCCAAAATGTGAAAACAACACAAATGCCCATCAACAGATGAATGGATAAACAAAATGCAGTATATCCATACAATGTATCCATACAATGGAATTTTACTGGGCTATAAAAAGGAATGAAATTCTGACCCATGCTCACAACATGGACGAACCTTGAAAACATTATGCTAAAGTGAAATCTGCCACATACAAAAGGACAAATATCTTATGATTCCCTTTATATGAGGTAGCTGGGGTAGCCAAACACACAAAGTATAACAGAGGATACCAGACACTGGAGAGGAGGGGAATGAAGAGTTACTGGTAATGGGTACAGTTTCTGCTTGGGAAGATAAGAACATTCTGGAAATGATAGTGTGATGGTCGCACAACGTTGTGAATGTACTTAATGCCACTGAATTTTAACACTTAGAAATGATTAAAATGGTGGGGCGCCCGGCTGGCTCAGTTGGTAGAGCATGCAACTCTTGATCTCAGGGTCGTGAGTTCAAGCCCCACATTGGGCATGGAGGCTACTTTAAAAAGAAAATCATTAACATGGTAAAAATTTTGTTATGTATGTTTACAATTTTAAAAATCCTAAAAGATATAAACAACTAAGCCCAAATAAGATGCCATTCCCCAGGGAGGATGAGCCAGCCACCTGGTGGCAGATGATTTCTTTGAACCTCTTCCATCGTGGAGGGGGCAAACTCACCCTCACTGGAACGGACACATATTCTGGATGTGGATATGTCTTCTCTGTCTGCGATGCCTCTAATGAGCACCAACATCTGTGTACTTACAGAATGCCTTACCCACTGTCCTGGTCCTGGCATGTCCCATACCATTGCATCTGATCACGGAGCATTTCAGAGCAAAGGAAGTGCAGCAATGGGTTCATACCCACATACCCCTTGAAACAACAGGCCTTAACTGAAAAGCAGAATGGCTTATTGAAGGCTTGATTACAGCATGAGTTGAGGGACTATATCCTGAAGGGAAGAGGTTATGCCTTATAAGATGCAATATATTCTTTGAATCAAAGACCATTATATGGTGTCATTTCCCAAAGCCAGAAAACATGGTCCTGGCTATCAAGGGCTGGAAGTAGGACTGGTTCCTTTTACTTTTATACCTAATAACCTACCTGCAGAATTTCTGTTGCCCATCCTGCCAACTTTAGGCTCCGCCGATTTGGGAGGAATGCTTGCATTGGTCCCAGTGAATGACAAGATGAGACTGAACCTGGTCATTTTGGGCTCCTTATACCACTGAACCAATAGGGTGAAAAAGGAGTTATTCTAGTGGCTAGAGAAAATGATCCTGAGTACGGAGAAACCAGGTTGATGCTACACAATGAAGGCAAGAAGATTCTGAGGTTCCTCTCAGTACTTCCACACCCAATGATAAAGGTTACTGGGAAACCACAGCAAACATACAACAGCAGCAAAATGCTGAAGGACTCAGACTCTTTGGCAGTGAAGGTTTGAGTCACTTCGGCATATAAAGAAACCCAATCAGCTGAGGCTCGGGCTCAGGACAAGGGAAATATGGAATGAACAGTAGAAGGAAGCCATGCAGATCCACCACAGCCATGTGACCAAGTACAGAAACAAAGACTGTAAGTTTTCTCTTTGCCTGTCACAGGCACGGGTTTATTTGTCTATGCTGCCCATTTTCTTCTTCTCTCCTTCTCTTCCCACTATTATTTTACAGATTGGTTGTTGGCAGTTAACTTTACAATTAGGCCTTAAGTAACAATATTCAGCGGCACCGTGACTGAGTTTGATAGCAACCGGCACAGTAGCTGTTGGAGCTGTGAGTCTCCTCATTTTATGGAAAGAACGAGAACTTGTAAGACAACTGTATCTTAGCAGGTAGAAATAGAGATTTTTTTCAAAAATTGAAATGTGTGTGGACGGGTGTGTACGGAAGCTAAGCAGCCAAAGGAGGGGAATGTGACAGTTACCAATTCATTGTCTCTCAGTTCCAAATCCATCATTCTCTTCTCTGCTCTGAGAAATGGAGTAAGTCCTTTAAATATTTTTCCTTCCCCAGGTGGCACAATTGCTAAGCTTCATCTGTAGAGGGCACTATTAGTCTTCTGGGCTGCATAACAAATTCCCATAAACTTAGAGCCTTCCAACAGCACACACATTTCTTTTTTATCTCACAATTTCTGTGGGGCAGGAGCCCAGCCGCAGTTTAACTGGGCCCTCTGCTCGGGGTCTCACAGGGCTGCAGTCAAGGTGTGGGCTGGGCTACATTCTCATTTGGAGGCTTGACTGGGGAGGACTCGGCTACCAAGCTCACTCAAATCGCTGGCAGAATTCGTTTCCTTACAGCTGTAGACTTGACGGGTGGATGCTGCCCTCAGATCCTAGGGGCCAGCTGCATTTCCCTGCCCCCTGCCCCTCTCCAGAGGCCATTCACTGCATAGCCGTCTGCTTCTTCAAGGCCGGCAAGGGGGTTTCTCCGTTCTGCTAAGACAGGGGTCTTACACGGTGAGATGTATTTCTGGGCGCAACACGCCAGCACGCTTGCATACTGCTTAGAGGCAAGTCACAGATCTCGTCCACGCTCAAGGACAGAGGATCATACAAAGGTGTGGATCACTGGGGGGGGGGGCTCAGCTTAGGTTGTGCCCACCACATACTACAAAGACATCACAAGAGGCAAGAGCTTCTCTTCCTGCTTCTGGAATACTCACTTGGCATGAGGCAGTATGGGTGTGCGGCTTGGCCAGTAGCTGGCTCCTGCAGAGCAAGCGGCTCCTTGTCCAGGGCCAGGTTCCTCCCGCATGGGCAGCTGCCCCAGCCCCCGGCCCCTGCACGGTGGTCAGCAGCACACACGGCCTCCCCGGCACAGCCATGCCCGCCCCGGGTCCTCGCGTCTTCTCTCTCAGCCCTAGGGATATGGTGTAGTCTCCTTCCATCTGATATTTTCATCTACTTTAGAGTTTTGCTTCTTACTAGTTCAAAGCTCTTGTTTCGTCAGTTCCATGGTATAATAATTTTTGTATTAAAACTTCCTTGTTGAAACTACCGTATGATTTCTGTCGACGAATTAGACTCTGACTGATTCCTGGACCATGTTCAGTTAGGATCTGTTAGCCACTGACATTCCAATGACCTTGGGGGTGTCTAGGAAACTTACATCTACAGGTGGAAGGTAGGTCACTCACCTCTTTAATTTCTTTCAGAAGTTCAAGAGCACAACTGAAGTCTGGGGGAGTAGCTGACAATTGCTCTTTGAGATGGTCCCAAAAGGCATTGTGCATTGTCTCCTTGACCTTGCCTTCCAAACTGTAAGAGGTTTAAATGAGCAAATTACTTTCTTTACCCAAAAACTGTTAGAAGGTCATTATCTCCTAAGGCCCAAACAAACAGCATTTGATATGACAAAAGACCATCATACTGACAGGAAAGGCCAGGAACTGTGTTTGGGCTGTGACAAAGTTGAACAAGCTGGGGTCAGACTTGGATGTCAAGAGCATCAGTAAAAGCTCTCAGAAGGGCTGCTCATGATTCCAAGCAGCCCTCCCTCTGCAGCAGGAAGAACTCTCCAGGGAGATCAGGCCAGCTGTAGCACCAATTTGCATCTAGCCTAGATAGTATGTGACTTAGTTTCCATTTATGCATACATACAGCAATGAACAAAAGGATCTTTTATTTTCTCACACTCCTAAAATCTAGAAAAGGATTTTCCTTCTTTGATAATACTCGAATATCCATAGGTATTTCTTAAATCAGCAGATCTAAAACTCAATTCAGTATCTTCCCCTTCCAAACCTGTTCCCCCTGTAGTCCCAATCTCAGGGGCATTACCAGGTAGCCAGTCAAGGAGGCCAGAAAGATCAGTCATTTCTTCTTCTAAAAAAAAAAAAAAAAAAAAAAAAAAGAAGCAAAGGCAATTCAATTTAGAAAGGATAGTCTCTTCAGCATGTGGTGCTGGAAAAACTGGACCTCCACATGCAAAAAAATGTATCTAGACACAGACCTTATACCTTACACAAATGGATCACAGACCTAAATGTAAAAAATAGATACCACAGAAGATAACATAGGAGAAAACTAGGTGACCTTGGGTTTGGCAATGACCTTTTAGATACAACACCAAAACCATGATGATCCATGAAAAGAAAAATTGGTAAACTGGACTCCATTAAAATTAAAAACTTGTGCTCTGTGACAGACACTGTTAAGAGATGAAAAGACAAAGCACAATCTTTGCAGAACATATATCTGATAAAGAACTAGAATCCATGGGGCGCCTGGGTGGCTCAGTCAGTTGAGCATCTACCTTTGGCTCAGGTCACAATCCCGGGGTCCTGGGATGGAGTCCCACATTGGGGCTCCCTGCTCAGAGGGGAGTCTGCTTCTCCCTCTCCCACTGCCACTCACCCTGCTTGTGCTCACACTCGCTCTAATAAATAAAATCTTAAAAAAAAAAAAAAAACTAGTATCCAAAATATACAAAGAACTCTTAAAACTCAACAAGAACAGAACCCAATTTTAAAATGGGGAAAGATCTGAACAGACACCTCACAAAAGTCATCACACAGATGGCAAATAAGCATATGAAAAGACGCTCAACATCAGGTCATTAGGGAGCTGCAAATTAAAATAACAATGACATACCCATCAATATCTATGAGAATGCCCCAATCCAAAATACTGACACCACCAAATGCTGCCAAGGCTGTGGAGCAACTCTAGGAACTTCCATGCATTGCTGGTGGGAATGCAAAATGGTACAGCCACTCTGGAAAACAGTATGGCAGCTTCTCACAAAACGAAACATACTCTTGTCATATATGATCCATCAGCTGTCCTTTGTATTTAAGCAAATGAGTTGAAAACTTGTGTCCGCACAAAAACTCGCACAGGGAGGTTTATAGCAGCTTTATTCATAATTGCCGAAACTTGGAGCAACCAAGATGTCATCCTGTGAGTGGACAAATAAACCGTGGTACATCTGGACAATGGGATATTACTCGGCATTAAAAAGAAATGAGCTATCAAGCCCCAAAAGACATGAAAGACTCTTGAACGCATATTGCTAAATGAAGGGAGCCAATCTGAAAAGGCTACATATTGTATGATTCCAATTACAGGACATTCTGGAAACCAATGGAGACAGTAAAAAGATCAGTGGTTGCCAAGGAATCGTGGGGCAGGGAGAAAAGGGTGAACAAGTAGAGCACAGGGGATTTTTAGGGCAGTGAGATCAGTCTGTATCACTGTGTATGATACAAAAATGGTGAACACATGACATTATACATTTTTCAAAACCCAAAGAATATACAAAAAATGAACCCCAATGTACACTATGGACTGGAGTTAATAATAGTGTATTAATACTAGATCATCAACTCTAACAAATGACCTCACGATTACAAGATATAAACAACAGTGGAATCTGTGTGCCGCAGAGGATGGGCTGTGTGGGAGCTCTGTACTTTCCAATCATTTTTTCTGTAAAACAAAACTACTTTAAAAAAATGTGTATTCATTTTAAATTTAAATTTAAAAAAGGAAATGACAGGAATTAATTTTCCTCTCAAAGTTTATTTAAATGATGACCCTAACCTGCAGTGAGACTCATAAGAGAAAAAGAACCATTTGAAAAGTCTGAGGTTAGACCTAGTCATTGCCAAGCAGCTACTGGTTTTCTTGAATTAAACATCCCCCCTTAAAAAAATACAGTAATGCATGCTTCAGGTAAAAATATAGTAATGCATGCTCCATGTAAAACAAACAAAAAACAAGCAATAAGAAGATGAATAAAACAAAAAGTCAAAGTTCCTCTCCCAACACACCACTCTCAATCATCAGAGGTAACTACTATAATCTGTCCAATGGTCTAAGGTGTACTAGAATTGTTCTCAACTCTTTTCTCCTCATCCTATCTATCCAATCCATCTCCAAGTTCCATCAATTGTGCTTCTTAAATGCCTCTGGAATCCATCCCTTCCTCCCATCATCTCTTACCTGGCCTACTGCAATAGTCCATTCCCTGGTCACCCTGCCTTCAGTCTTGTCCCTTTTTTATCTGTTCTTCACCAATTCATTCTAAAATCAAGGACTTCTGAAATGCAGTTATGACCATGATGCCATGCTCGGGTAAAGACCTTTTGGGGCTTCCCCTCACCAGCAACATAAACCACTTATGGGACCCCTCCAGACATTGCTCTGCCTCCTTTTCCAGTTTATCTCCTTCTATCTCATATCTTGTATCCAGCCACACCAAGGTACCTGTAAAGAACATACCATATTCTTGCCTCTGACATAGTTTCCTCTGCCGGGAACATTCTTTCCCACCTAGACCATCTGGGCAGCACTTATTCCTCCTCTAAGACTCGACTCAAGTCTTCCTCTGTAGGCAGATCTTCTCTGACCCTCCTTAAGCAACTGAGCACTCTCATGAAACTATACACAGAACTATGAGTCAACTGATCAGTGTCTTCTGTTATTCAACTGTCCTCCCTATAGAAACTTCTGACAGTGATGACGGCATGTTGTTTAGCTATAGCTACAGCTCCATCCATCCTCAGCACTCAGCATTTTGCCTGCCACATAAGGACTCAATATACGCCTGATGAATGAATGCCCAAACATGCGATTTCCCTTCAGGGTGGACGATTGTTATTAACACCATCCTATGCACAGAGAGCCAATTGCCAAAAATGAGTCATGTCAAACTCTATTTCAACCTTTTTCCTGATATAAATTCTGCATGACCTTACGTGAAAACCCAGCTCTGACTGGTACTATTTCTCCTGCTTCATTTCTCCCTCTCTCGTGGCTTCTACCCGCCCCCCAGCTCCCTCGCTACTGCCCCTTTAGCAGATCTTCACTCTCCCAGTTTCAATGGTTTCTCCTCTTCTGTCGTCCCAAACATATCTAAGCAGTGAGAGAGATGTTAGGACATGTGGGTTTTGGGGAAAACCTGGTCCCACAGAAGCTGTGCTTGGCACCAGGCAAGGGCAAATCAGAGCACGAAGAGGAGGGGAAGTGCGCACCGTAGAGAACGGCACTTGAGTAAGAGAGTCCCTGAGGCTGCCGGATCACAAAAGCAGTTAAGGAAACTGATCACAAGCTGCCCTCATTTATCTATTGGTGGGAAATTAGAACGGTTTTTAAAATCTGACATTGAATTTACCCATTTAACTGCCAATAAACCAGCAGAGCCATTCAATTCACACTTCCCAAATGGTTCTCACTTGCTATGATGTCAATATAACTAAGAATCAAAGCGAAGCTTGATGGAGGTGGGAGAGCATTATTTATCAAGAGTTCTGATCCTGATTCATAAATTAAACTGACTTATGGGGGTGCCTGGGTGGCTCAGTTGGTTAAGCGTCTGCCTTCGGCTCAGGTCATGATCCCAGGGTCCTGGGATGGAGCCCCTCATGGGGCTCCCTGCTCAGCAAGGAATCTGCTTCTCCTTCTCCTTCTGCCTCTCCCTCCCTGCTCATACTCTCTCTCTCACTCACTCACTCTCAAATAAATAAAATCTTTTTTTAAAAAAAGAAAATTCATATTTTATCATCTGTGGTCATTTAAAAGAGTAACTGGAAGGAGCTATGAGGCAGGCAGCCGATAGGATGACCCCAAAGACCTAGGAGTTCTGATATTCACACTGGTGTAATCTCATCTCTCGGAGTGTGGGCGCAGTCGTCTACCTTCCAGCGAACAGAAGGTAGCCGAGGTGCTGGGATCACTTCGGAGATGAGGTAACAGATAGTCTGTGGGTTCTGTCTTGGGCACCATCTCTCACACCCTGATTTTCTCACTCACTCTGAGTGAGGGAAGCCAGCTGCCATGTGGCCCGGAGCTGAGGGAGGCTCTGATGAGCACTCAACACACTGACTACAACTAGAGCGGGAGACACCGTGAAACTGAGCCCGGATCTCTGACCCACAGAAACTGTGAGATAACGAACACTGGTTCAGCTGTTAAGTTCTGGAATAATTTGATGGCAACAATAGCTAGCTACCACACACTACTTCCTCCACATCTATCCGAGAAGATCTAAAATCCACCCTCCTGGTATTTTATTATTAACAGGGGCTCGCAAAGTGAACATTCCAACAATAATTACTTTGGCTTATTCACTAGTTAAATAACATTTGCTTCTTGACCCTCTAATACTCATAATTATTACTCTTCTATTTAACTTGTTGCGCCTTCTTAAGGTTTATATTCAAACACTGTATTTTTTCCCCCAGTTTTATTGACTATAAATTAGATTATTAAATAAAAATGCTCCGAGTCTGGTCAGAAGCCATTAGTTCTAAATAGCTATACCAGGATGAATAAAATGGGAAAATCAGAAGAGCTGGTACCTGCTTGGAGGGGAAACCTTTTCTTCCATGTGGAAATCATGATTCATTCCAATCTTGTTGCTCAGCTTAGAAACGTTGTCAACTGTATCTATCAGACCTGTGACAGAAAGATCCTCAGGTGTACACCCGAAACTAATGTTAACATCAATTAAATCTCCATTAAAAAAAAAAAAAGAACTTATGGTGGACACAAGTCATTCCGAATTTCTATTTTATTCAGAGACTCACTCTGAGTGGGTCCCAAATTTAGATTCATCAAACTGATCTTACACCAACTCATTTGACCGTTCTAGTCATTTAGGTTTTCTGAACTCTGTGCCTAGAGTAGTCCAGCATGGGAGTAAGGGAGGACAAAGAAGCTATTTTATAAATAACAAAAACTAATTACAAGCCTTTCTCTTGAAAAGTAAAGTAATAATTAAAGCAGCAAAGAAACAATAATTTGTGATTTGCAAACATAAGCATTTATCTAAGGGCATTCTGATTCTGCTCTCCTTTTCCTGCCTCTGATGAAAGTTAAATTCTCCACAGAGATGGCACTGAATGGCACCAGTGTCCCTGGTCTCAAAAAGCAGGAGTTCCCAGGTGTTAGGATTTTACAGGCTACTGACATTCCCAAAAAGTTTCTGAGCAATTGACGACAACTTGCCAACCTTTTGTTTTACCAAGTGTGGACAGTGAGACAAGCAAATAAGCAAATAAAAAAATCCACTCTACCACCACCAAACCATCGCTTCATAAAAGAATAGCTTAACCTCCAAAAAAAACCAAAACCAAAAACACCCCTACCCCCCGCCCACACACAAAAACAGAAAGGTAATATTGTCGGAATAAAGAGGAGCCCTGTACACTGAATCAATTTAGCTTTGGAAAAAACCCATTACATCTTTATTTCCTTTCACTAAATATTGTGAAGAATTGTGTCGTAAACCAGCACTAGCATTTGTTCTTACTACAGACCCAGCTGAGCCCATTCTCACATAACAGGCACAATACTCAGAATGATCACTTAGTATGTGGAACAAAGTTGCACACAGTAAATCGTGTTTTCTCATTCTCTTTCAATAGCACTTCATAATTTGTCCACAGAAAAATATCTGGTTCCCAGATATGGAGGGGATATAAACGAACGAAGATCGGCCATGAGTTGGTCACTGTTGAAGCTGGGTAATGAGTAAACATGGCTCATCATACTAGTCTACTTTTGTAAATGTTTAAGTTGTCCATAAGTAAGAAGATTTAAAAATGTAAAAAGGAAAAATAGTTATTGTAGAAAAGAGGTTACACAGAATGCCTTTATTCTTAGGAGATACATGATGAAGTTTTTAGAAGTCATGACCCTAACTTTCAGTAAGAAAGGACAAAAATACATATAGAGAGAGAGAGAGCAAGCGCAATGTGGCAGAATGTTAACAGTGGGGGCATTCACCTTTTTTGTTGTTGTTTACCTTTCAACAAAGTTGAACTACTTTGAAATTAAAAATTAAAATAAATAAAATAAAAATGTATGGGTAAAAGGTGATTGCAAATTTACCAAAAAGCCACTGAGCCCTTGCTTAGGTAAACATAAAGATGAACTGAGCCTTAAGTGGACAGTTGAAGTTCCCTTTATTTTTGCAGCCTCTCCGAAGCCTTTGGTTTCAGCTAAAATGGCAAAACACAGTCAAATATGTAAACAGACAATCCATTAACTCACTAATGCGAAATGAGAAATAAAAGAAAATCTTCCAAGGGAGATTGAGTTATAGCAGCTTACTGAAGGACTGAGGGAAAGATTTTCCACAGAGACACTTTCCAACTACAAGTCCAAGTTCAGAGCCTACTTTGACAAGATTGCTGCTCCCAAGTTCCGTTGTGCTAGGCAACTCCCAACAGCTGTAAAATTCAGGAAAGGGGAAGGCCCAAAGAGAAATTCGAGGGAAAGTGCAACTAAAGTAGAGTTTTAAAATCCAAATCCCAAGGACAAAGAAATTTTCAACATGATACAGTAACTGAACAAGTCAACCTAATCCACAAAATGTCAAATTCTTTTTTTTTTTTTTAAGGGGTAATTTGGTTACTCACTTTAGGGTTGTTTTACCTATGGATTCATTTAAATAGCCACCCGAAGAACTTAAATTGTTTACACTGTTTTCACAAAAAAATTGGCATTCGCCCACACATCAGGTTCATTCTTATCTAAATAAATTCCTATGCACCAATTTGTCACTTTGGGGCCATTCTGTTAGCCGGCAGCGACCCCACGTGGCCACCAGAGAAACAAGCGCAATTCAACTTCAGAGTACCAGGGCCTTGAACTAATTTTTCCCGTTTTAATCTTCAAGAGTTTAACTCGAGTTAAACTCTTACATGTGGACAGGTCTTCAGACTGATGCCTGTTTAAATTCTCTAGGGATTACTAGAAGAGAAATGCAGGAGGAGTCCCCGTGAGGTTCGACCTACGCAAGTATAGAAGAAACCTGAGACCCAAGAGGAACATGAAGTACAGAGCTCAAGAACGGACGCCCAGAGCTTAGGACTTCCAGAGTCCATGAAGCGCCGAGTGATTCCCATCCAGGATCACTCGGGTTCTTCGAAAGTACCCCAAGTGTCCGCCATTTTCCACCTACAAATTCAAACGACAGCAGCGATGGCGGTGAACGCGCTCGGCCTCGAATCTTGTCAGAGCCACGTAATCCCGCCCGGGCCACTTCTCCCTCCTAGACCAACCTCCGGGTCCAGGGGGCCTAGGGCCTGTAAGCAGGGGCTGGGTCGGGGGGAGACGAGGCGAAGGGCAACCCGAGAGGCCGGGGAGGGCGACGAGAGGACGGCGGGCCCTCGCTCTTCCGCCCCGCCCCAGGCTGGGCGCCCCCGAGCGGCGACGGGACCTACAGGCCGGGCGGTCCTTGGGGCCGCTCGGGTCTTCTCGGGTCGCCGCTGACGTTTCGGGCTTGCGGGACCGGCACCCTGCATCGCCCGGATCCTTCAGGGGCGCTTCCTCCTCGACGTCCGGCATGTTGCGGATGGAATCTGGGTGGGGAGAAATGACGCGCCGTTGGCGTCGGGGAAGGGGGCCCTCCAACTGCCGCCGGGGGCCCGGAGTCCGGCCGCGCGCGCCCGACCCGGCCAGACCAAAAGAGCAGGGTGGCCAGCTTCAGGGCCTCTCGGGGCACAGGCGGGACAAAGGAGCCTGGAGGAGGGGTGCGGGGACCCAGAAGTCAGGCCCTGGGCGCGCAACGAGCGGGCGGCGCGGGGTGCGGCCCTCCGCGCCCGGGACGCCCGCCTCGGGCCCTCCCCGGCTCCGGCAGCAGAGGGCGCCCTCGGCGCTTCGGCTCCGCGCCGCTCACCTCCTCCCCGGCGACCGGCCCGGCTCTGGGCTCGGCGCCGCGGCCGCGCAGCCTCGAGGCCCGGGTCGTACCAACCGCGGCGCGGCGGCGGGGGCGGGCGGCCGCGAGGGGCCTGACGGCGGCGCGGAGACGCCCGGGCCGACCCCGCGCGCACCCCCGCCCGCCCCGCCGGGGGCGCCGGGTGGGAGAGTCGGGGCTTTGAGAACAAAGCGCCGCCCATCTCCCGGGGCAACGGGCGGGGTCGCGTGGCCACCCCGCAGTCCGCCGCCCGCCCAGGCGGTCGGGCTGGTGCGGGGTCGTCGTGGGCTCGAAGGGTTGCGTGGCCTGCGGGGCCGCTCTCTGCCGGGCACGTCCGGCCCCCGCGAGAAAGATCCCCTGGAACTACTGAGGGAGAGAGGGCGCACGGTGCTTCGTTTCTCTTCAGCCGGCTCCTGTAGTCCGAGAAACAGGTCCCCACCCAGGAGGGTGGTTCCTTTTTAGCACATTCTAGGGCATCGTGAGAGCCGGGCCGTGCTGCCGTGCTACAGGTGTGGAAACCGAGACCCCTGGCCAGCTGCCGGTCCATGGAGGCTGAGCCTCTGAATTCCTGGCCTGGGCTCTGCTTGGACCTGGGGGCGGCCCTCCTACGCCTGCCTCCGGGTCTGCTCTGTTGCCCCTGAAGTGATGTGAGGACCGGGAGTGACCACCCTCCCCTCCAATTCCTGCACTTTGGGAGGAAAAATGAAAAGGAAGTGTCCACTGCCTACTCTCCTATCCCTCTTTATTAACTGACTTGATTCCTTACAACAAAAGCTTGCTTTAAAAAAATAAAATAAAACATAAGATGAAAGTATTGCCTGTAAGAAAGCAAGTTCTTATAATCCCTGTTTTGTTAATGTGGAATGTGGATTTTTCTTGCACAACTCATGCGTTTTGAAAGGGAAAATTTTGAAGAGGCCTAAGAACCTTTTCTTCCTTCCTTCCTTCCCTCCCTCCCTCCTTCCCTCCCTCCTTCCTTCCTTCCTTCCGTCCTCCCTCCTTCCTTCCTTCCTTCCTTCCTTCCTTCCTTCCTTCCTTCCTTCCTTCCTTCCTTCCTTCTATCCTTCCTCCCTCCCTCCCGCCTTCATTCCATCCTTCCTTCCTCCCTCCCTCCCTCCCTCCCTCCCTCCTTCCTTCCTTCCTTCCTTCCTCTATCCTTCCTCCCTCCCTCCCTTCCTTCCTCTCTATGCCTAACATGGAGCTTGAACTCACTCTCCCAAAGATCAAGAGTTGCATGTGAGTTGCTGAACACATTTCTGCAAAATGTGCAATATGTGCAAAAGTCCGCTCTAGGGGCGCCTGGGTGGCTCAGTTGGTTAAGCAGCTGCCTTCAGCTCAGGTCATGATCCCAGGGTCGTGGTATTGAGCCCCACATCGGCTCCTTGCTCAGGGGAGAGCCTGCTTCTCCCTCTGCCTGCCCCTCCCCCCTGCTTGTGCTTGCTCTCTCTGACAAATAAATAAATCTTAAGAAAGAAAGGAAGAAAGAAAGAAGAAAGAAAGAAAGAAAGAAAGAAAGAGAAAGAAAAGAAAGAAAGAGAAAGAAAGAAAAGAAAGAAAGAAAGAAAAGAAAAGAAAAGAAAGAAAAGAAAGAAAGCCCACTCTACCCTGAGGTCAAGGTGATATGAGGGGA